TATCTTCCTAGAATTTAATTAGGTCAGTATCTAGGCTGCTCAGATTTTGTATATATTATATATGCCTATATCTATGTATATGTCTTATTTTGTGTATATATATAATCTAATCTGTGTCTACATCTGACAAACTTCTATTTTTAGCTGTCTTTTCACATTTTTGGGGATAATTTAATTTTTGACTGGGTCTTTGAAGGCATTGCACTTGAGATGTGAGTGGTCATTTCTTATAGGGACAGTCAGTGGAAATCACAGCTCTTTCTTGCTCCGAGTAGGCTTTGGACCTTATAATCCTTAAGGTTAATTGCTGTTAACTCTAAACAGAAAGACACACAGTTCCCTGTCATTTGGTTCACTCAAAAGAGTAGCATCCACTAACTAGGTAAATGAAGTCATATTAGTCTACTTCAAAGGATGTGGAGTTTTAAAGAGCAAAGAACACATGCCAGCTTTCTTGCTCCAAAGCTCAGGAAGTGAGAAGAGGTCAGGATAGCCTCAGATGCTTTCACAGAGCTCTCTCAGGCACCTGTTACCCATTGCTCTTCCCAGAGAAAGTTTCTTTAAAGTTCCTCTCATCCTTTTACCCACTCAGATTACATCTATACCACTGAATAAAAGAGGTCCAGGAAGTAAGCTTACGCACATCATCCGTGGTCATCCATATTGCTTAATTGTTGGCTTGCTCCCCAGCCTTGTTTTGAATGACTCCAATTGCTGCTTTTCCAGCGAAAACCTGAGTATGACTCAGGGAGAATCACAGAATGTTGGGGATTGGAAGGGACCTCAAAAGATCATCTAGTCGAATCCCCCTGCCAAAGCAGAAGTTTACTTTATACACCATTAGCAAGAGGCAGTAGAGGTGGAGCTGCACCATTTGGCTCCTTCTGCCCTCCAGAGTGCCCCATCCCATTCCCAGTAAACTTTGCACTCCTGAATCCCTTGGTCTGTCCTGATGCCACCTCCCAGGACATGCAGTGTACTGTTGCTTTCACACTACAAGAATGCCGTTCTCTGGGCTGCAGCATCAGCATGTGCTGTGTGGCAGAGCTGCAGCCAGTCCCTGCAGGAGCAGTCAGCACTGTCAGTCAACCTTAACATGCGGCTGAGTATGAACTTGGTCTGTTTGGTCTCCAAGTTCACTGGGCAGGTGGAAAGGGAGAATTATCTAGAGGGAAGCATTATCTCTTCCTAATAAGTGCCTTCTTATTAAGAACAGAGACTGTGCTCCCCAGAAAATGTAGGTTTGTCTCCAACCTTTAGAAAAACAATTAGATTATTTCAGATTTAAGCACTATCTTGACTTCATATGGTTCAGTCATCTTTTTTGCAATAACTTAGAAGAGTCTGTGAGGAAATGTCCTTGCAGGGCAGTCATGCTGCTTTATGAAGGAAGCTGTAGAGATTCCTAGGCTTTGTGCTGAGTAAGCGAAGTTCAGAAATAGCACACTACAGTGTGGTTGCCCAGAGGCAGCAATAACTAATCCCCTAGTTCTTTCAGTGCATGGGCTTGTATATCTATGTAGCACTGCTCCATGTTGTACGCTGGAGATGTTTGTCATGTCACATTGACAAACTCGTTTTCTTGCTTTCCTGATTCCATTGCTTCCATTTAATTTGGGAAAGTTTAGTCAGCCTGACACCTGCATAAATTGAATATCTAAAAACCTACAATACTCGTGACATTATTACAGGTTGACGTTCTCATATTGTTCCATACTAGCTGTATCCTGTCACATACCAGAATCCTTGGACTTGTGGTGATCTAGTAATTCACAAATGAGGTGTGTTTACCATTCCAGAACTATTTGCAAATTCGGCAGGAAACAAGAGAGTCACTTCATTTGATGCATTAAAAACTTTTATGGGAAGGCCTCCATGTCAACAAATAGCAGTTCACAGCACAATATTTTGAAACATATGAAATATTTTTTTCCTAGGTGGGAACCTCCTTTTTCCTTTGAAACTGTGAAGTGATTCAGTTCACTTTTCCCAAAGAGAAAAAGAAATAAATAAAATCTGCCATGATAATCCTCCTATATCAACAGAATTCTCTGAGGTAGCTCTAAAGTTATTACATTTCATGCAAATGAAAACAGTTTTCACAAGTTTCAACAGCAGGTCATGTTTTCATCAGTTCATAATCAGTGAAGTATATGCATAGGTGTTTGCAGATGTATATATTGTTTCTCAGTTTTGAATCCATGAAATATGAGTACTAGTTTTTATTTATACATGTATTATGATTATCAGTGCAACTTTAAAATATTGTTTCTTAAAAGATTGATATGGATTTTTCAAGAACTCTAAAACCATCCTGAATTAATTTAATATGATTTTTATTCTTACAGTTTGTGAAGATTTTATTTGTAATTCATTATTCTTCACACTTTGAGTGCTTCCAGTAGTGTTTTTGGCTCTGGAGTGAGATCCTATTGTGCCAATGTAGAGACCTTTTTATATCTTTTTTTATCTCACCTCCAGCGAGAGGAAGCATCATCAGGCCTCATTGCAAGACAGGGCCTTTGTATTTAATGGTTTGTGCAGGATGTTTTTGTGGGTGGATCAAATTGAAGTTGAGTATTTGCACAATAAGTAGAATATTTTTATATCAGTCAAGATATTTTTGAGATAATTTCAAAGAGCAAGTAGGTTTATAACTGATAAAAAGTCAAACACATATTTGGAATATTTTACTTTTTCATGCTATTTCAGGTGGATCATTTTTCTTAATGTCTACCTTTAGTGGATATTGCTTTAAGTAAGACCTAACCTTAGTGTGGTGGATAAGTAGCTCAAGTTACACTCAGACTAGTGAATGCTTTTTCTTTCCTTCACAGACAGTAGTTCCTTTCATGAATGTAAGAACACTGTGAAAGGATATTTCGTAGAGTGAGGGAAGAAAGTATGTTACAGATTAAGAGAAATAATGACTAGGTGTGGTATGAATATAAATTGAAGTTGGATAATGAGGGACAGTGGGTCCTTTTTTTTTTTTTAACTAGCCTGGTATTTCTAAAAAGATTTTGCATCTAGTATGGTTTAGTTAAATAAACACAAGTTTGTTCCATAAAACTGAAAACATTCATGTGTATTGAGAATGAGTGAAACATAATTGGGCTTTATAATAAGAAAAAAACCTTGCATGCAAATATACCTGGATATATGTTTAATATTTGATGCCTGACAAATTTTTTTACCTTTGTAGAATGTGATAGTATACAATTTTGTGATTTTTAGCCACATATTTTTTTGTCATCTTAGCATTAATACCTGTAATTAAATCTTCTATATCATTCTACCCTGTTATGTATTCAGCAAAGATATACATTTTTAGAGGAAAAAAAAGATTAACATAGTTAAGAAGGAAGCATTTTTTTCAGTCTTCTCCAATCTCAGTGTTTAGTATGTAAATGTGCAACAGTATTACATATTATATTTAAAGAATGAGAGGTCATGAGTAACTAAGAATTATTTCTACAAATCTGTAAACTCTAATAATGAAGTTTAAAGGTTTTTGAAGCCTTTGAAGCAAAATCTGTATTGCAATTGAAGTTTTACACACATGTGGAATGAAGATATGAAGTTCTAATAGGGAAAGCATTACTAATAGTTTAGCTCTTTGTATATTGTCAGTCCAAATTTACCTTTATTGCTATCAAAAGGCCTGTCAAACTACTTTATTTTGCTTTTTTTTTTTTTTTAATAGTTTAGCTCTTTGTATATTGTCAGTCCAGATTTACCTTTATTGCTATCGAAAGACCTGTCAAACTACTTTATTTTGCTTATTTTTTCAAGGTCACAAATGCACTGGTGCTATGTAATTTATGAGAGCTCAGGATACCAACAAGTTTTCTTCAGAAGTGTTTGGTTGCTGTCTTCCAGCGAAACACCTGTGCAGACCTGAGTGTGAGGGAAAATGTGGTTTGTTGCAGACTAATCTCAAGGAAGTGCTTAATACGATAATGAGTGAAAGTTACAGGGAGGAATGAGAGAGCTACCATTTCTGCTCAGTGTCAAATATCCTAGGATGCTGGTGTGACCATTGCTGACAAAAAACCTGCCCTGGAGACCCTCAGCACAGTAGATAGAGAGGGAAGCAGCACAAGAGACCATAAGAGCAGGGAGCTGGGCCATCTTCAGAGAAAAGTTGTCTGACAGAGTTTGGACTGCTGTGTGCACATGCCAGCTTGCTTGCATTCCTAGTTCCCCTCAAAAGTTTTGACAGATTTGAGATGTTCCTGAAAATCCTTAGATTCAATTACAGCAGCTTTTTTCAGTACAATGTTCATCTGTTAAATTTCCTTAGAGTGTTCAAAAGTTTTGACAGATTTGAGATGTTCCTGCAAAATCCTTAGATTCAATTACAGAAGCTTTTTTTCAGTACAATGTTCATCTGTTAAATTGCCTTAGAGTGCTTCCTCACAATAGATGTTTTAAAAATAGTTTTGTTTGTTTCTTTGTTTTTCCACTTTAGAATAAAATTTGGGAATGAAAACAAAAATTTTGCTTGTTTCTTAGAAGTTATCTTACCATCAAGTACTCTTGTATAGAGTTCTCTCTCTTTTCATTACAGCCTCTGAGCACGTTCTTTGTCACACTTGGTTACCATCTGTTATTCTGCTAATCTGGAGAAATGGCATGGTGGCAAAACAGAAACAGAGTTAACACAACAGATAAAGCAATTGCATTGTAAGAGTACTCTATGCCGATATGTGGAGAAGAAAAACTCAGTGATGCTTTTGACAATAGAATACAGTGAACAGTCTAGGGCTGCTTAGCACAATCAGATGCAGTAGATACCCAGGGCAGAGTCTTTCTAGCCATGTTCATGTAGCTCATAATCCTGGCTGGACATGAGCTGGCCTGCTCAGATGGCATGGGGCCAGTATAATAAAAGATGTGTTTTTCTAGATCCAATGCATAAAGATAAATCCAATTTCCATATTAATATAAGTGCATTTATCACAAGAAGGCAATAAATAATCTTCTGTTATTTGCAGAGCCAAATTTTGTGTCATCTTATGACATTGGGAACTTTACCTACTTCTTCTTCCGGGAGAATGCAGTGGAACATGACTGTGGGAAAACTGTCTTCTCTCGTGCTGCTCGGGTATGCAAAAATGATATTGGTGGCAAGTTTGTGTTGGAGGACACCTGGACTACCTTCATGAAAGCTCGACTGAACTGCTCTCGTCCTGGAGAAATTCCATTTTACTATAATGAACTACAGAGCACTTTCTTCCTGCCAGAATTGGAATTGATCTATGGGATTTTTACCACTAATGTGTAAGTAAATTCCATTATATATTTTATTTTCTTTCCATTTATGACAGTAAAATCTAAAGCTTTTGAGCTGCTTTCTTCTGCATGTGTAAGTAAACATCATAAATTCAAACTACTGTTTTGCTCAATCCATTGGCCTCTTGTGAACAAGGGTTAGTCCCAAATGCCTCCCACATGAATTGTTGAAGGCATATGAAAGAGGGAAAAATTCGTAATATTTCCTTACAGCAGGGAGTCAGTTGTGTTTAAGACTATTCAATCACTTTTAAAATACATTCTTATAAAGACTTTTTTATTATTATTTTGCACACTACTTTAATACATAAATATATAATGTATTTATGAAATAAATATTTTATAATTGTAATGTGACATGATCATGAGTTTGACATGATGTAATTTGACCATGTCAGGAAGAGTTCACCTTACTCAAAAGATCACAAGAGGTGCTCTTATGTATTTTAACTTAGTCCTAACATACACTCATGTGAGTTTGAGGATCAAACCAAGAATTTAATGTAATTTAAATTGAACCTGTTATACGAACAAGGTAAAATTAAAAAATGTACAGTTTGGTCTTAAAAATTGTTAAATATTAAAACGTTGGATGGATATAAAAGCTCCCTAGACTCTAAGCTTGATAACAAGAGTTCCTTAACTCTTAGGGAGAACGAGATACTCGTATCAGAAATGTCCTTTGTTACTTTAAACATGATAACTGGAGTTCATTTGTTGCTTGGTGAGAGCAGTGTATGTGTTATGACTGTGCAGCCTGGTGTTCAGACCACTGGATTAGAGTTTCAGATTTTGGTTTCTGATTCTCTTACCTTGCAGCGTCTTGCTGTTTAAGTCAGTTTTGCCTAGAATTTTAAAAGGTGCTTGGGCACCTAAAATGTAGATCAGTGGCCCTTACTACTGATGTAAGCACCTGGATACCTACCTTCTATAAATATCCATTAACCAGGTGGAAACAGTCACAAATCAACAATAAATAGTGATCCCTAAGTATTTTATACAGTGAACATGAATCTGAGCTTAAGCTAGTTTTCATGCTTTTGGTACAGTCTTTTATTAATGCATCTAGGCATCTTCCAGACTCAGGCTCACCCCTGGGCCAGCAGCTCAGCCTGTGAGCATGACCAGCGAGGGGGATTCCTGACTTGTGGCATCAGATGATGAGCTTAACCCCATTCCTACAATGGAGTAATGTAGTGAATCTAAATTCTGCTTTTTAAAAGAGAATAGTAGAGACTTTAGGACTGCTGCGGATAAGAAAATTTGATGCTACTTTCATCAGTATTTTTAATTTCATTGGTTTTGGTCTCTTTTACTAGTTAGTTCGAATCTTAGAAGACAGGCATTTCTCAAGTGGCATGCTCATACAATGTTCAACATGATCTTTCATGAGAAGTCAAAATATCTTTGACATGCTTCTGCTGTGGAAAGCCTGATCAGAGCAATTCTGCTCCAGAAAATCCACAGGGCTTTGGCCATGGAAGGGGAATGATGCTTTTTTCTCAGAAGGACTGTCCTGACAATCTGGGGAATGATGGAAATTCCTGTGCTACAAATTCCACAGTTTCTAAGGTTGAGTAAGGGTATCAGGGCTGCCATCAGCACACCCTGGCTCTTCTGGAAATGGACTTGCTAATGTAAGACTGCCTTTGCCACATGAAAGTAGACAATATTTAAAAACTTGCTGCTACTTCCTTCTTCCCCAATGGCTCAGCATTCTGCCTTGTCCAACAGAGATGGACTATTGAAAAAGGAATTAATTATAACTGTTTGGGGATGATTTTTTTTTTTTTTTTTGATAGCTCCATTTAAATTATATTAGTTTCTGCCATCAAATATTGTAATTACATTTTTGGACATTGTTGAAATGTTGTAAAGTTAGGATTGCTTCCCGATGCTGAATATCTGTTCACAGGTATCTGCACAAGCTATATGATCCACCTTTCAGCCCTTCAACCTGATGGTGGAGAAGCACCAGGGTCTCCCATGAAGGGGAGCAACATATTCCTTTCTGTTGGTGTAACAGCATCAGATGTTACTGAAACATATTCAGCATTCTACAGTCTCAGCATCTTCAGAATTTGGATGGCTTTATTGTACCCTAATGCTTTTTTTTAATATACTATAAAGATACAGGAGAAAAAAAAAAAAAAAGAAAAAGAAAAAATGCAGCTTGGATCAGTTGTCAGGAGTTGTTACCTGCAATGGAAATTTGTACAACTGCCACCTTCGTTATCTATCCTTTTATCTCAAATTGTGGAAAAGAACAATGCAGTTTTCCATATTATGAGCTCTCATAGTCACCATGTATATCACATTTCCAAGACAAGAACGGGAAATTTTGTGTTTTGCTTGGCTGCTGTTTGTTTCTGTTTATTCCTCTAACAGGATATCTTGTGAAGTACGCAGTCCGAGTTGTTTTGTCTTGATGGATTTCTGAAACTTACATTCTTATTGCTGTACAACACCTCTTGGAAGACAGGATTTTTGTGGAGGTGTCTTACCCAGGATTGTCATAGGGTCTAGAGACATACTGTACATTGAAAATCCTTAGTTCTGTCGTGCTGCCATTGGTTGTATAGAAGAAATATTAATGAGCCCTGAGAATAATCTCATCCCGAGCTTTGTAACAAGAAGAAAGGTGTCCCTAATTTGTGTGATTAGCTTTGTGGTATTAGAACAGCAGCAGAAGGTAGGAAGTTCTGACTTTCTCCCACACCAGCTACTTGGCAAGACTGACAAAAATTTTAAATCTTATCTCTGTGCCTAAATCAGCACATCATATATCATTATCTTGAGATATCATCTCCTGGCTGATCATGTCTGCTTTGTTAGTTAATTGAAGGTTTGGAGGGTTATTGCCTTTTTAATTTATTTTTCAGCAAATGGGCTTCTTAATATTGTTACTTACATTAATGTTTATGCTTCTTTTGCAGGAACAGCATAGCAGCCTCAGCAGTTTGTGTTTTCAACCTCAGTGCTGTAACTCAGGCCTTTAATGGACCCTTCAAATACCAGGAAAACTCTCGCTCTGCTTGGCTTCCGTATCCCAATCCTAACCCAAATTTTCAGGTACAGGTACATGGGAGAAGGACAATCGTTTACATGAGGTTTTTTGTCGAAGTGCTGTGTGGTTCATAATAAGTCCAGTTTTGCAGTATGTTATAGTCCGAGACCTTAAAAAAAAATAAATAAATAAAAAAAAAAAAGCTTAAGAGGTCCCCTTATTTCCACATAATTAATTTTACCTTCCATAAAATAATTTGGCTTCAAAAGTAGATGTGCTTTGGAGGGTAGGAGAAAAAAAGGCTTAACTTCAATCTTCTATCAAGATGGAACACTGGCTGAAGTGTGGTCAAACTGCTATTGTCTTTTACATTGTATTTGTGCTATTAGAACCTGAAAAGGAACATTGTCTGACAGAAAAAAAGGAAGTGGAGAGAGGGAGCAAGAGAGAGGAAAGGAGGAGTGGTCAAAATTTTATATATTTTCCTGTGCAAGGTGGTCCATACTTCCTGAAGAGTCTGATTAAAATAATTTGTGAGGTGATGTGCCCCTCACTTGAACTTGTCAGAGGGTGTAATAATCTGCATCTGGCTGACAGCATAAAATTAATTAGTCCAAGGTGGGTCACTCAGTGGATCTTTCTACAAAAATAAAAGAGTATTTCAGGTAAGCACATACACATTGCTTTCTACTGCAACGTCACCACTCCTACTAGGACAACTTTAGTGCGTGTGATTCTAGCAAGGGAAATAGAAGGGAAAACAGCATCAATTTAGTGATTAACAACAATAGCTTTTCACCAAGATACTTGAGTATATTCACCTTTATCCACCTTTCACCCTTCCTTAATCTCAATGCAGTTTCATGAGTTCTGTACTGCTCCTATAACAGATTCCTTTATCTTCTTGTAAGAGTTGTGAGATCTTTGCAAGCATGAAACAGAAGCACCCATTGGGGATTATAGGTTACTTCCTGATTTATGCAAATGAAGGAAAAATAAGGCACAGTTTTCTCTGAATTACAGGCCAGAACTGTTACCTTTCCTAAATAGTATGTTCAGCATTAACTACAAGTGACAAGACACCATTTAAGTAAACCATATTGCAGAAGCAGACTATATTTGTATATAGCTTTTTATATATTGTAGAAATATTTGTATTGTCAAAATAGTGATAGTAACAGGGTCTAAGTGAGGCTAAATTCTTGAAGGAGAAAGCCTGAAGAAAGACTTATGTGTAAAATTATCATCTTCTTTCTGACTAGGTGAGCAAGTCCAATGAAAGTTATTAACATCTCCCTACAAACCTTATATTAATGTGTTGATAATTATTGTGAGAACACCCCATACAGAATGGTACATACAAAGATCACAGCCTGATGACTGTGTAAAAGCAGTTTTAAGTCTCTACTGCACTGTTGGTGCTCATCACTAAAGCCCAGTCAAGACTGCAGTGTTGAAAAAATTCTTGCTTGGATATTCTGGCTGATTTTAATATGACTGGTACTTCATCCAAATTACAAGAACAGTGGCAAGAGTTGTATCATACCTCATTGAGCAACAGCTTTGCAGGCCAGTGCTAGTGCTAAAAGTTATAACGTGGCCTTTTACAACTCAGTATTGAAGACAGTTGACATTAACTGATCTCTAGGTATCATTAGTGATGTTGAACTTCTTTTGCAGGTGCTATCTTTTAATCTGTTGAACTGTGTTGGATTTCTGGCTTCATAACTGCAGCAGTGATGTATAATAGAAACTAGTCTAGTGCTTAGAGCTAGGTGTAGCCATTTTTTTTTGTGAATTGATGGTGCTTTAGAGTATATACTTCATGTAGATGGGATATATTCATTGGCTGGGTCACTGGTTTCCTTCCCAGAAAGAAGGACTTTTCTTTTATAGAGTCCTTATAATAAAATATCAGAAGTTCTCTTTGCATAGTCTCATAAGTAGATTTATCCTCAGAGTATTCACCTACTCAGCAATAACAGACAGAAGTATGTGATTTGAAGGAAGACTACTGCTGTGTGGTGATAGTTATTTCAGACATTGTATTTCCAGGATTGGATTATATTAATGAAATATTTTCCAGATTAGAGTACTATTGGAGTCCCTGATTAGAGGAACACTATTTTTTTCCAGAGAGTGTTGCTTTTCTCTTCACACTGGAAAATGTCTATCGTAAGACCAAGGAGCATATGCATTTCAGTGTACTATGAGCGTTCCAGCTGGAATCTTTCCTGCTTGATAGATTCAGTGAAATTCTTCTTTGGCATGGTTTATTTCACTGGCCTAACATGCAGGGTGGTCACAGAGCAAGTCATTGTTTCCTGCCAGTTGCTTAACTGTCTTTCCTCATCATATGACCTCTCATCATGAAATTATTTATTTGAGTTTTTCTTAACATTTGTGGATTTGGAATAATCACTTAATTTCAGACTGAAAACATAGCAATCATGAAAGAATAACTGGGAGGGTTTTGCACATTGTATTATTTAGTTCATGCTGTAATTCATGGCATAGTTTATTATAGTAGAATAGAACAAAAAATATGACTATATATATATATTTGATAAATGTTGTGAAGTATTACTTTGCTTTTCTGATGCAATTATGCATGAGTAAACATGTGGATGTTTACATATTCACATGTGCTATGCATCTTTCTCTTTTGTGTCTTCAGTTAGTTCAGACTTAAACATAAAGATGCTAAAATTAACTGCCACTTTGTTTTGTTTACTTGTGTTTGAAATTTGTACATGCAAATAATGAATGCTTTCCTGTCAGGAAAAAGTACAGTTTTCAGATATAAAGTATGGTCAGTTCCAAAGCAAAAATGCCTTTACCATGGATAACACTTTATAGTTAGAGCACAGGGTCTGAAGAAGCTGCTAGAACCAAGCATAGTGTTTTCACCTGGGATTTCTGTCAGAGCCTGGCTGTGATAGAAAATGAGATTTCCTTTGAAAATTTGTTATGACTTTAGCACTGTGTCTGTGTAAATTATAAGGAATACTAGTCAGAAAATTCTGTGGTTTGTTGGATGGTAGTTTTTCTCCTTGCCCTGTGAACATAGGATATAGCAAAATATTCCAATAGCCCATCTGTGGTGGTCAGTCCGGTGCCCTTCCATGTTGTTTAGAGTTAGGGAGCCTCCTTAGTACTGCCTCAGGAAAGCAGAGCTTCCTCAATCACTATGTGGACAGTCTGGTCAGCACCAAAATGAGACCTGAAAATGCAATTCCACAGTGTCACTACAAGGTATACTCTTTTTTTTTATTTATTTTCTTGTGCTCTAAATCAGAGAGTAAATCTGCTGTTATCGTTGAAGCACATAGTAATATTACTTTTCTGTGTTTATAGTGTGGCACCATGGACCAGGGTTTGTATGTAAATTTGACTGAGAGGAATCTTCAAGATGCTCAAAAATTCTTCTTAATGCATGAGGTCGTTCAACCAGTTATTCCAGTTCCTTACTTCATGGAAGACAACAGCCGATTTTCCCATGTGGTTGTGGATGTTGTGCAGGGGAAGGACATGCTTTTCCATATCATCTATCTTGCCACAGGTATGAACTCTGCATTACTGTGACAACTGCAAAAGTTTATAAGGTCTATGAGTTTTAATGTTCTGTTGATCAGTTATGAAATATGTATAGTGCACCTTGAACAACAGCTTTTCCTCTTTGACAGCTTGAACTCTACTTCTGCCTTTTCTAAGTAGATGAATTCAGCAGTTTGCAATGTCTTTGTTTATATTATATTGTGAACTCAAATTTTGGTGTCTGTTTTCCTATTCTCCTTTGAAGATATGAAGCCTATATGCTCTTGAGGGAGCGAGTGGTTAGAAATCCTACAAACAGAACTTCACAAGTTTTTGTCTTTTATTCTTTTTATGTAGTTCAGAGTACAATCTCGCCCAAGATAAGATGGTTTAGATTCCTCTGAGATAGAAGTAACTTTAGAAATAGCAAATACAATTACTGCTATTGCTATTTCTGACTCTTCTGCTCACAAATATTTTATTACCTTTCCTTTTCATCTAATTTTTAAGTCATTCCTTATGCAGTTTTACACCCGCCTTATTATTTGCCCATTTATATGTGAGCATAGCAATGAAAGAAAAGTAATCCTCCACCTAAAATTGCCTTGATTAGAAATATTGCTTTCTCCTTGCAAAATTTCAAGCTTCTTAAAAATAACAAGGGTGTCAAAGAACTGTTTTTACAGAACTAGTATGTCCTTAGCTGAGACTGAAATACTAGGTTGGAGTAACATGTTTAGAGCCTCATGGCATAAAACTTAGGGTAGTTCTCAAATACTTAGTCCTGTGCACATTAGTAGGGCATAGCTCATTAAAGCAATGGTTTATTAATGTGCATAGTTTGTCTCACAGTGAGTAGGCACCAAATATGATAAATTTAGGGAATCTGTGGATCAACAAGAGGGAAAAAAAATCCTAATCCTATTTATTTGATCTTTCAATCAATGAAGTAAATTTCAAAGTTGTCATTGATTCAGTAGAAGCTGGATCAATCCTGTTAATGACTAAAATTATGATTTACTAACGAAAATTATATATTGTATAGCTTATCTTTTTCCAAAAGCCCAAGAAAAATATGCATTGTGATTCAATATGTGATTTAAATTTCCCTTGAAAGCATGATACCATTTTTTCAGAGAAGATTGCTTCTTTTGAGTCTGAAGAAATTTTATAGTAATTTGGTGCATTAGGGTGAGACAGTATTTCTTTGCATGTTATCCTTGTAGCTTTCTCATTGTACTTCTAGAAAGACAGGCAGTAATATAAAAGCTTTTAGTTAAAACTTCGCTTGGATTTGATCAGTTCTAGTCAAAACAGCCCACTGGTTGCTAAATTATAGCATTTTAAGTGAAATCTTGCCAATACTAAGTGCTATTTGTATTATAGAGGTCTCCTGACAGAAACTGAGTTACAGAAACATGTACTGAATTGTTTGCAATGAAGAGACTATCACTGCGTTGTGAGATATTTACATTATAATGGCAGCACTGAGAATGATATCATTTGTCATAATTCTGATTATCTTCAGTTTTCAGTTGCCCTTACTGTGTTACCTTTTACATTTGATTCAGTAAGTGAGGATCTAAAACTTTACATTTCATGATTCCTTGATAAATTGTGTTCAGTAAAGATTCTAGGTTCTTTTTTATGCATCTTTCTTGCTGCTAAAAGATATTGTTCCTGTACTCCTTTAAAATGTATACTTGCCTTTCACTCTTTCTTCTCTGTACCTCTGGTTTTGGTTATTCATGGAAGTAGAATACCACCTTATGTGTATGTTTGGGAGAGGTGGAAGAGTGGGGTTATGGTTACTACCAGACTGAGAAAGGTTCTTGTTTTTATATCTTTTCTGATTTAATTTACTTGCATTATTAAAAATGTTGGCAAATTAAATTTGAAATTAGCTTTTTGCCATAATGCTCAATCTTCAAAAAAAGCCAAAGGAACAATCTGGGGAACAGCAGCCTGTTCTGCATTCAGTCTGTGGGAAAATCAAGGAGCACACCTCTTTGGAGGACACTTCTGTGGGCACATGATGAAGAAAGTGATTTGGAACATTCAGCATGGATTTCCTGAGGGTGAATCAGACCTGACCAACCTGATTACTTTCTGTGGTAAAATGACTGCATTTGTGCATGAGGAGAGAGGAGTACCTCAAGTTTAGTGAGACTTTTGACACTGTCTCCCACAATATTCGTATGTCCGAATTAGGATGTATGGTCTGTATGAGTAGACAACTCAATACGTAAAACCTACTTAGATGTCCGGCTCAGAGGGTAGTTGTTAATGGGTTGTATACAAGTGGTAAGGGGTTGAGTACTGTCCTGTTCTAATCCATGACCTGGTGAAGGCAACAGAGTGCACTCTATCAAGTGTGCAGATGACACCAGACTGGGGTGTCAGTAGTTACACTGGAGGAGAGTGCTGCCATGCAAAGGACCTAGACATGCTGGAGGGATGGGGTAGCAAGAACCTTACGAAATTCAACACGTGCAAATATAAAGTCCCACATCTGAGAAAGACTAACTCTATGCAATGATTAAGACAGGAGACTGTCTAGGAAACAGCTCTGCTGAAAGGACTTGGGGACTTTGGTAGACAGCAAGCTGAACATGAGCCAAGAGCATGCCCTCACTGCAAAGAAGGCCAACAGCCTTGGGCTGTATGAACAGGACCATATCCAGTAGATCAAGGGAAGAAGTTATCCCCATATATTCAACATGATTTAGACCACATCCAGTTTTGTCCTCCCCACAATGCAAGAAGGATATTGCAAATTCAGTGGAGGGCCACCTTCTGTTGGAGACTGGAACACCATGCCCTAGGAGGAGAAGCTGAGGGAACTGGCCTTGTTCATCCTAGAGGAGAGAAGGCTTTGGGAGGGGGTAGTATCAGCCTACAGACACCTACAGGGAGTTTAAATGGAGAAAGGAGACAGGCTTTTCACAGTGATGCATGACAGGAAAACAAGAGACAACAGGCAGAGAGTTTCAGACTGGATATAATGAAAAACTTTTTCACTATGAGGACAGTCAATTGGTGGATCAGATTTCACAGAGGGGTTGTGCAGTCTCCGTCCTTGGAGGTTTTCAAGACCAGACTGCAACACAATCAGTGTTATGGCTAGCTTTGAGCAGAAGGTTGGACTTGAGACCTCTTTGTGTCCCTTCCAACCTAAATTATCCTCTGTCTATTGTATGCCGGTACAATTTGCAAATTGGTTGGCTAAATTACGTTTTAACTCAACACTGTGATAATAGATGTCATTGTACTTTCTGCTGCCAAAGTAAAAGTGCATTCAATTCTAATGCAAGTACCATCAGTAAGCAATTTTTGTCTAGTGGTGTAAAGCAGAACGGATCCAACCCATGATATGTGAGATATACTCTGCATAACTTTTGTAGTTATAATTCATGACAGCATTCTTACAAAAATTGTCTTTTAAAATGCACAAAGCTGATTCAGTGGAAAGATAGGCATATAGATTGGACTGAATACAAATGAATGCTCTGCTGTTACTCAAACCAAAAATCCCATTCTTTGAAGCAGATGGACAGCAGTTAAAATTCTCTCTTCTCTCCCCCCCTCTCACATTCACTTACCTATCCACCCTGCTATTAGAATACAAGTAATACAGACGAGAATAACCTGATGGTATAAAAGTGTAATCTAATTTCATTAAACCTTAAATAGATACAATATTACTTGAGGAGAGACTGGGAGTAAGCAAACAAATGCATTAATCTGCTGTGTCAACAGTCTTCATTTCCTAAACCTTTGCCAAATCATCATTCTGCTAGGAGATTCTGATATGCTGGGATTTAACAGCTACTGCTCATATCAAAAATATACTTTAGTACTTTGGAAACACATCTTAATCTTTCACTGCACTGACTTTAAACACAAAATGAAGGAATATATCAGTTCCTGCACATTTTGTGTTGCTTAGAGCTAGCACAGTGCTGCTGGCTTTAGGCAGGCAGAAATCAATTTTTTTTTCATACATTTGCCTTTAGAAGTGTTATAACAGATAGTAAATCTCCACAAATTTAACATTTTTCTCATTAAGCCCTGATGCTGGAGATTATCAGGGGCTCTGTGTAACCCAATGTAGTTGAAGATGTCCCTGCTCACTGCAGGGGGGTTGAACTAGATGATGTTTAAAGCTCCCTTCCAACCTGAACCATTCTATGATTATACAAAACTAGTCCTAACCTCATGAAGAGATTTGTAAATATGCATGAAACTCAGTTTGGAAATGCTATCAAAACAGTTTGTATTTCTCCTGTTTGTCTTACTAGATGGGAATAAATTGATGCAAAATAGTGCATGAATTGATTCCTCTGTGATTTTTGATACCATTCTATCTTCTTCCTTTTGTTTTTACAATCAGTACACCATGTTTTTTGCTAGGGAGCAGCCCAAAGTCTTAACAAGAAAAAAAGTTGTGTGTGTGTTTTTTGCTAAAAAATCTACAGGTTCTGATCAAAGTGTGCAACTTTCACAGTTTAATGTGCATGGTATCATAATATATGTAGTACGTGTGAAGTTACCAACCTTAGAATTATAAGCAAAAATATATGCTTATATGCATTTCATATATGATGAAAAAGGCAACAAAGCTTAAATTGACTGCATTTTTTCCAATTTTGGTGCTATTTCTGACTGTATTATCTCAAGTGTGTTGAGGTTATTGGAAGTAAATTGTAGGCAGTTTTTGTAGAAAGGAGCTATAGACTTTTCGTCTCAGTTTGAGAAGCACCTTTTTTAGTCTAGAAACTGCAATATAAATGCAATAATAATAATAATAATAATAATAATGATCAAAGTAGTTGTAATTTGAGTCACAAGTCAAGTGTGAAAGTGGTCTGTTTGTATGTATGAATACTTTATAGTTCGAAACGAGAGAAACAAAGAAATCAGTGTGCAGATGGATAATGGGGCATATGCACTGCGGCAGGCAGTCTTCACCTTTTGAAACTATTTATCTTCTGTTGTAACAGAAAACACAGTTGCTTTGTTTCT